GAGTGCAGTGGTATGATCTCAGCTCACTGCAACCTCCACCTTCCAAGTTTAAGTGATTCTCCTGCCTCAGCCTCCCATGTAGCTGGGATTACAGATGCCTGCCACCATGCCTGGCTAATTTTTGTATTTTTAGTAGAGACGGGGTTTTACCACGTTGGCCAGGCTGGTCTCAAACTCCTGACCTCAGGTGGTCCACCCACCTTGGCCTCCCAAAGTGCTGGGATTACACAGGGTGAGCCACTGCGCCTGGCCTCAGATCCCTTTTTTTTGAAACAGGGTCTTGCTCTGTCACCCAGGCTGGAGTGTAGTGGTGCAGTCATAGTTCACTGCAGCCGCCGACTTCTGGGTTCAAGTGATCTTCCCACCTAGTTTTCCAAGTAGCTTAGGACTACAGGTGTGTGCCACCACACCTTGCTAAAATTAATTTTTTTTTTTTAAGGGACATTTTCTCCATGTTGGTCAGGCTGGTCTCGAACTCCCAACCTCAGGTGATCCTCCCGCCTTGGCCTCCCAAAGTGCTGGGATTACAGGTGTGAGCCACCTCGCCCAGCCTTAAAATTTTTTCTAGCGATGCATTCTTGCTATGTCACTGGGGATGGCCTCAAGCGATCCTCCTGCCTTGGCCTCCCAAAGTGCTGGGACCACAGGCTTAAGCCACTGCACTTGGCCTCTCTCGCAATTCTCATAGCCAACCTCAGACCTCATATTTTCTCTGTGGTCTAATCCCTCATGCCACACAAGTTGCTGACGCCAGAGGTGAAGCTGGCAGAGAAGCTACCCGAATCTTCCTGTCACACTTGTGGTATGACCCAGACGCCTCTTGCTACAGCAGCCCCTGCATCTGACTTTCAAACGTCCGATTCTCCCTGCAGTTTCTCCCCCAGATCTATCTTGCAGCAGCAGCCTCCAGCGCTAACCAATCCCACGTGTGATCTCACCCAGCTCTTTCTTGCTGTGAAAATGCCCGAGGCTAGAGGCCAGGTGCAGTGACTCGTGCCTGTAATCCCAGGTGGGTGGATTACCTGAGGTCAGGAGATCAAGACCATCCTGGCTAACACGGTGAAACCCTGTCTCTACTAAAAATACGAAAAATTAGCCAGGCATGGTGGCATGCGCCTGTAGTCTCAGCTACTCAGGAGACTGAGGCAGGAGAACTGCTTGAACCCGGGAGGTGGAGGTTTCAGTGAGCCGAGATCATGCCCCTGCACTACAGCCTCGGCAACAGAGTGTGACTCCGTCTCAAAAAAGAAAGAAAAGAAAATGCCCTAGGCTGACCCTCAAGGTCCAGTCCTCGCTGAAGTTCAGCCCAGAATTTTTTTTTCAATTATTAAAATAATATTTTTTCTTTTTTTCTATTTTCACTCCATTCTTCTGGTCTGATAGATTATTCTTTTTTTTTCTTTTTGAAACAGGGTCTTGCTTTGTCACCCAGACTCAAGTGCACTGGCATGATCACAGCTCACTGCAGCCTGGACCTGCTAGGCTCAAGGAATTCTCCTGTCTCAGCCCACCACGTACCTGGGACAATAGGCCCATACCACCATGCCCCGCTAATGTTTTTTTCATGTTTTACAAAGAGGAGGTCTCACTGTGTTCCCCAAGCTAGTCTCAACCTCCTGGGCTCAAAGGATCCTCTTACGACAGTCTCCCAAAGTGCTGGGATTACAGGTGTGAGCCACCTCGCCCGACCTAGATATTTTTCTTTATGTAACAGCCCCCACACTGACTGCCCTCACCCAATGTTTCCCTTACCTTCGTCTCGGCCAGGTAGTCAGCCGAGGACTTGAGCTGCCAGGGGTTGGTGGCGTCAGGATGGGGGTTGCACTTGAAGAAGTGGTGGGCCTTGCGGGCGGCGTGCAACAGGTGCGGCTTGGGCAGGCCCTGGGTCTCACAGATGTAGCGCACCTGGTCGTACTCATTGTTGCCCGGGTAGAGGGGCCAGCCCAGGTGCAGCTCAGCCATGACGCAGCCTAGGGACCACATGTCCACCTTCTCGCAGAAGGGCAGCCCCAGAAGAATCTCGGGGGCACGGTAGAAGCGTGACTGGATGTATGGCTCCTTCACGTAGCGCACCTCGCTGAAAATGCTGGCCGAGCCAAAGTCGATCACCTGTTGGGGGTGGGGAAGAGGGCCAGTGTGCAGGTCAAGCTACAGGGGCAGCCGAGCTGGGTCACCCCTGGCATCTCTCACCTGGCATCCTGCATCTGCCATTGGACTCTGTCCATCTCCCGGTCTATAATTCTTTAGTTGCTTTGTTGGGTTTTTTTTGTTTTTTTTTTTTTTTTGAGACGGAGTCTCACTCTGTCCCCAAGGCTGGAGTGCCGTGGTAGTATCTCAGCTCACTGCTTCCTCCGACTCCTGGGTTCAAGTGATTCTCCTGCCTCAGCCTCCTCAGTACGTGAGATTACAGGCCCACACCACCACATCTAGGTAATTTTTGTATTTTTAGTATAGACGAGGTTTCTCCACATTGGCCAGGCTGGTCTTGAACTCCTGATATCAGGTAATCCACCCGCCTCAGCCTCTCAAAGTGCTGGGATTATAAGCATGAGTCACTGCACCTGGCTGGCCTCAGTTTCCTTCTCTGAGTTTTTCTGCTTTTCATTCAGCCATCCCTCACTGTTCTGTTTTGTTTTGTTGTGAGACAGTCTTGCTCTGTCGTCCAGGCTGGAGTGCAGTGGTACGGTCTGGGCTCACACAACCTCTGTCCCCCGGGTTTAAGCGACTCTTCTGCCTCAGCCTGCTGAGTAGCTGGGATCATAGGCACTCACCGCCATGCCTGGCTTATTTTTACACCTTTAGTAGAGACAGAGTTTCACCATGTTGGCCAGGACAGTCTCAAACTCTTGACCTCAACTGATCCACCCACCTCGGCCTCCCAAAGTGCTGGGATTACAGACGTGAGTCACTGCACCCAGCCATCCCTCACCGTTTACTTGCAGAAAGCAGTATCGTGAAATGGTTATTAATTGCGGTTCTGATCCCAAAGTGCCAGGGTTCAATACCCAAGAGGCCGAGTGACCTAGGCACTTAGTCAATGTTTTCGGAATTCATTCATTGTTTCCACAGAGACGGTGGGGGTGATAATGCCAGCCAGGTGCTGTGGATCTGTCCTGTCTGTCCCCTGCTGTGTCTGTGGAAGTCCCTGCTTCCCTGGGTCTCTGTCCTTCCACCTCTTGGGGCAGCGTAATCTGCCTGGTTCTGCCTCTGTGTGTCTCTGTGTCTCTAACAAACATTCAGTTAGCACTGGCTCCTTGACTGCAGTGCTGGGAGATGTCAGGGACACAGCGATGACCAAGTCAGCCCTGGCCTTGCCCTCGGGGTGCCCCTGGTTCAGACCCATCCAGACACTGTCAAACTCAAAAGCAGACAGAGGACTGGGCATGGTGGTCATACCTGTAATTCTAGCACTTTGGGAGACCAAGGGGGGCGGATTGCTTGAGCTCAGGACTTTGAGACCAGCCTGGACAACATGACAAAATCCTGTCTCTACCAAAAAATACAAAAATTAGCTGAGCATAGTAGTGCATGCCTATAGTCCCAGCTCCTCGGAAGGCTGGGGCAGAAGAATCACTTGAGCCCAGGAGGCAGAGGCTACAGTGAGCCAAGAAAATGCCACGGCACTCCAGCCTGAGTGAGAGAGCCAGACCCTGTCTCAAAAAAAAAAAGGTGGGCCAATTGTGGTGGCTCACGCCTGTAATCCCAGCACTTTGGGAGGCCAAGGCAAGTGGATCACAAGGTCAGGAGTTCGAGACCAGCCTGACCAATATGGTGAAACCCCGTCTCTACTAAAAATATAAAAATTAGCCAGGTGTGGTGGTGGACACCTGTAGTCCCAGCTACTTGGGAGGTCGAGGCAGGAGAATCGCTTGAACCCGGGAGATGGAGGTTACAGTGAGCCAAGACCATACCATTGTGCTCCAGCCTGGGCAACAAAGCAAGATGCCATCTCCAAAAAAAAAAAAAAAAAAGAAAGAAAAGAAAAGCAGACAGAGGGGTCAGCACTGGGGGGCTGTGACAGCACAGAGAAGATGCCTCTATGTGCCCAGTGCAAGGCCAGGCCAAAAGCAGGCATTCAATACATGTTTACTGATAAGCAGAGCATGATGAGTTAGACACATGCTTCCAGGTGCTGGGGCCAACAGGCTTTAGTCCCCCTCTAGTCCTCGCTCCTTCTCTCACCCTTCATATAAGATCCATCAACAAATCCTGTTGTCTCTAGCTCCAAAATCTACCCAGAACCCACCCAGGTCTTCTGCTCCCACTACCCTCACTCCGATCCCGATCACCACGTCTCTTACCTGGACTAGTGCAGTCACCCCTCTGCCTTCCTGCTCCTGCTCAGCCCACCCCCGTCTGCTCCCCCTGTGCAACCAGAGAAACGATGCTTGGGCTTGTTTCTCTGAATCAGATCGTGTCCCCCTCTGCTTAGATTCCTCCTATGGTTCCATCTTCCTCAGAATAAAACCAAAGTCTATGCTGTAACCAACAAGGCCCTGCACGCCCGGCCCCGTCACGTGCTTGGACTCATTTCTTCCCTCTTCACCTCATTCATTCTACTTCAGCCACACAGGCCTCCTCGGTGTTCTTCAAATGCATACAGTGGCACACACCTTGATATGGTTTGGCTCTGCGTCCCCACCCAAACCTCATCTCCAACTGTAATCCCTATGTGTCAAGGGAGGAACCTGGTGGAAGGTGACTGGGTCCTGGGGGTGGTTTCCCCTATGCTGTTCTCCTGATAGTGATTGAGTTCTCATGAGATCTGACAGTTTAAAAGTGGCAGTTTCCGGCTGAACACAGTGGCTCACACCTGTAATCCCAGCACTTTGGGAGGCTGAGGCAGACAGATCACAAGGTCAGGAGTTCGAAACCAGCCTGGCCAACAGGGTAAAACCCTGTCTCTACTAAAAAGACAGAAATTAGCTGGGTGTGGTGCCGCATGCTTGTAATCCCAGCTATTCAGGAGGCTGTGGCAGGAGAATTGCTTGAAACCTGGAGGTGGAGTTTATAGTGAACCGAGATCATGCCTCTGCACTCCAGCCTGGGCAACAGAGCAAGAGTGTCTGAAAACAAAAAGCCAAAAGTGGCAGCTTCCCTTCCATGCTCTCTCTCCTCCTGCCATGTAAGACATACCTTGCTTCCCCTTCACCTTCTGCCATGACTGTAAGTTTCCTGAGGCCTCCCCAGCCATGAGGAACTGTGAGTCAATTAAACCCCTCTTCTTTCTTTATAAATTACTCAACCTCTGGTAGTGCTTTTTTTTTTTTTTTTTTTGAGACAGAGTTTCTC